TGTCTACCTCAATTCCCCTACCTGGAAAATGGAGATAATGCTATAGCACCTGCCTCCTAGGGTTGTGGTGAGGATCACAACTGGTATACAGTAGGCACTTAATAAATGCCTGTTTCCTTCCTGCTGGTTGGAAGGTACTTCAGAGGGTCATCTAGTCCAGGGCTTCTTAAACTTTTTCCACTTGCATTTCCCAAGGTTCCTTGGCATTGGTTGCATGGCCTGAGGGCATGTGCCCTCATCCTTTGTGTTCAGAACCAAGGCTGCAGTGAAGTGTGATGCAACATGGGCAAGAGCTGCCAGAAACACCTCGGATTCATTGCATGTTTGATTTTAATTTAATTAATTAATTAATTTAATTAATTTTTTGTCATTGCACGTTCAGAAACCTTTTACTATTGCCAAATTTTTCACAACCCCATATGGGGTTGCAACCCATAGTTTAAGAAGTGCTGACCAAACCCCCTCATTTTATAGATGAGTTAACTGAGGCCTAGAAAAGTTAAATAATTTACCCAAGATGACCACTGAGGAAGGCCTCAGTGGTCATCTAATCCAAACTCCTCATTTTACAGATGAGGTGATTAAGGCCCAGAGAAGTTCTCAGTCAATCAATAAATAATCAATAAATATTTATTAAGCACCTACTATGCACCAGGTACTTTCCTAAGTATTGGAGACACAAAAATAAGCAAAAGACAGTCCCTGCTCTCAAGAAGGCAATCTAGTAGTGGAGAAAACATGCAATCGACTATGTACAAACAAGCTATAAGCAGGATAAACAGGAAATAATCAATAGAGGGAAGGCCTTTTTATTAAAAGGGATGAGGAAGGGGGTAGGACTTTGTGTGGCACTTAAAGGAAGTCTGGGAAGCAAAGATGAGGAGGAATCACATTTCAGGCATGGAAGACAGCCTGTGAAAATGGGAGATGCAAGTATCTTGTTTGAGGCATGTCAAGAAGGTCAGAGTCACTGGATATGTGAGATGGCAGTGTCAAGTTTAAGAAGCCGGGAAAGAGAGTTGAAGGGGAGACATTTTATAAAGGGCTTTAACACCCAACAGGGTTTTATATTTGATCCTGGAGATGATAAGTAGTCACTGGAGTTTAGGAGGTGACATAGTCAGACTTGTGCTTTAGGAAGGTCACTTTGATAGCTGAGTGGGAGATGGGCTGGAGTGGGGAGAGACTGGAGACAGAAAAAAACAATGGGCAGCTGTTGCAGTAGTCCAGGGGTAAGGTGATGAAGGCCTGTAATGGGCGTGGCATCAGAGGTGTCAGGAGAGAGGGAGACATATGCAGGAGATGTTAAAAGGTAAATTCAACAGGTCTTGGCAACAGATAATGTATGTGGAGGAGGGAGTGAGATGTAGAACATGACACCAGGTTTTGATCACAGGGGACTAGAAGCTGGTGTTATTAGTTATTCCCATTTTACAGATGAGGAAATAGAGGCAAACAGAGGTTAAGTGACTTGGCCAGGGTCATACAAATCATAAGTGTCTGAAGCTGGAATTGAACTCTGGTCTTCATGACTCTAGGTCCAATGCTCTGTGCACTATGCTACCTAGCTGCCCCTGGAAACAAAGCTACTGATAATGCATCATAGAAATATAAGCTAAGTGTAGTACACAGAGAGCTAGATTTGGAGTCAGGAAGACCTTGATCAGATTCCTACCTCTGACATTCCTTTGTTGTTGTTCAGTTGTGTCTGTCTCTCCATGACCCCATTTGGGGTTTTCTTGGCAAATATACTGGAGTGGTTTGTCATTTCCTTCTCCAGCTCATTTTACAGATGAGGAAATTGTCTCTATAGAGAGACAATTGTAGAGAAACAAAACTAAAAACCAATATTCCTAATGAACAGTGATACAAAAATATTAAGTATTAACAAAAAGTCACAATAACATATTAAAAAGATTATACATTATGACCAGGTTGAAAATATACCAGGAATGCAAAGTTCATTTAATATAAGGAAAACCTATTAACATATAATAGACCCTATTGATGATAAAATAATTTTAAAACATAATTATATCAATACATGTTGAAAAAACTTTTGACAAAATCGAGCACCTGTTTCTGTTAAAAACACTAGAAAGCATAGGGATAAATGCACCTTATCTTAATATGGCAAGTAGTATTTATTTAAGTATGAGAGTCAACTTTATAAATACTTGAGAAACATGGGAGGCCTTTTCAGTAAGACCAGGGATAAAGCAAGGATTTCTATTTTCACTATTACAATTTGATATTGTTCTAAAAATGCTAGCTGTATAGCACTATGAAAAGATAAAGAAATTGAGGAGATAAAAATAGGAAAACGTGAAGCAAAATTACTATTTCTTAAAGATGATATAATGGTCTATGTAGAGAACCCAAAAGACTCAGTTAAAATTTATTTAAACAATAAACTCATCAATTCAGTTGCAGAACGTAAAATAAATCCACATAAATCATCAGCATTTCTGTATTTTACCAACCAAACTCAACAGGAAGAGAAAGAGAAATTACATTCAAAATAACTACAGAATGTACAAAATGTGTAGGAGTCTATCATCAAATATACAGGGGAAAAACTATAGAAATACAACTGCAAAATACTCTTTAAAGAAATACATACTCAAATAATTGGAGAAGTATCAATTATTCATAGGTAAACCATACCAATATAATAAAAAATTACAATACTGTTTAAGTCTCTTTACTCATTCAATACTCTACTAATCAAACCACCAAATGATTACTTTAGGGGAAAAAAACTAATTAAAAAATTCACCTGGAGTTTAAAAAAAAAGTTCAAGAATCTCAAGAAAAATGATGAAAAACAGTGGGAAGGCAAGAGACCAAGAAGTATCAGATCTCAAGTTATATTACAAACTATAGCTCTTTTATAGAGGACAAACAAAAAAAAAGTTGATCAATGGGACATGTAGAAATACCAGATACAAAACCAAATGAACATAGTAGCAGAAGAATGATAAACTAAAAGACCCTATCAGAATAAAAACTCAATATTTAACAAAAATTGTTGGGTAAACTGGAAAGCAATCTAGCAGAAACTATGTTTAGCTGAACATTTCATATCATATACCATCATAAACTCCAAATGGATACATAACTTATACAGAAAAGTCTACATCATAAATAAGAAAAAAAGGAAAGGATACAACCTTGGATAGATAAATCAGTAACTCAGAAAAAAAAAGTCTTTGCAATAAGTTTTTTCAGTAATCTCTGACATCCAATATACAAGGAACTGATTCAAATACATAAGAATTAGAACCAATCTCCAATATATAAATGGACAAGGGATATGAAGAGGTAATTCTCAAAAGAAAAACAAGTTATCAATAACCATATGAAAAAATGCAACAAATTGCAAACAACACCAAGGTTCCACCACAAATCCACCAGATTGGAAAAGGCGACAAAAAGGAAAATTGCAATTTTGGGAGGATCTCTGGGGAAAGAGGCATACTAATGCACTGCTGTTCAATCTTAGAAGTGGTTCTACAATTCTGGAAAGCAATTTAATTACAGGCAGAAAGTCACTAAATTATGCATACCTTTTGACCTACTAACACTACTAAACATATTCCTCAAAGAGACCAAAAAAATATAAAAATATTCATAGCAGTAATTTTTGCTGGAGCAAAGAACTTGAAACTCAGAGAACTTCTCTCAATTGGGGAATGACTGAACAAATTATAGTACATGAATTTAAATAGAATTCATTGCTCATTAAAAGATGACTAAAGGGACATTTTCAGAGAAACCTGGGAAGACTTGTGTGAAATGGTGCAGAGTAAAGTGAACAGAATTTTTTAAAAAATGTACAGTGACTACTATATCATAATGAAAAACTGAAAGACTTGGGAAATCTGATCAATGTAGTGTTGTTGTTGTTTTTGTTCAGTCATTTTTAGTCCTGTGCTACTCTTCATGACCCCACTTGGGTTTTTCTTGGCAGAGATACTGTAGTGGTTTGCCATTTCCTTCTCTAGCTCATTTTACTGATGGGGAAACTGAGGCAAAGAGGGTTAAGCGATTTGCCCAGGATCACATGGCTAGTAATTGTCTGAGGCCAAATTTGAACTCAGGAAAAGGGGTCTTCCTGACTGCTGGCCTAGCACTCTATGCACTATGGACCCACCCTGATCAATGCAATGACCATCGCAACTCCAGAGGACTGATGAAGCATGCTTTGTACCTCTTGACACAAAGTTGATGAACTAGAGGTGAAGAATGAGGCAAATATTTTCAGATCTGGCCAGTGTGTGGACATGTTTTGCTTGACCATGCCAAGGTATTGCAGTGGAGGATTTGTTTTTTGGTGAAATTTTGCTTTTTTTGTTGTTGTTTTTGTTTTGGATGCGAGAAAATTGAGCAGAACTGAGAGCTAGGATTATCAGTGCCAAAAAAAAAAAAAAAAAAAGGAAAGAAAAGAGCTTCAATGAAGCATTTAAAGAAAATTCACAGAATAGATTGGAAGGCAATTTAGAGGACAAGAAGACAAAATGAGGCAAAATGAGGAACTAAAGTGATGGATCGCATATATACTTTAAAAAACAACAACAGTGTAAGTGAGGCAATGGATACAGCAATGGGCTTGTAGTCAACAGGAAGACCTGAGTTCAAATCCTGTTGTAGACTCCTACCAGTTGTGTGACTCCAGCCAAGTGATACGCTTAACCTCAATAAATCTCAGTTTCCTAGTCTGTCGAATGAGGGGTTGGATTCATTGGCCTCTAAAGTTCCTTCTGCACCCAAATCTTATCTTATAATCCCAAACTATGCTTAATATACTTTGTAGTTTCCGACACAGTCCTCTTTTCTTTTATACATGTGGAAATGTCCATTTCTGTAGGTACTTATCAAGAGCAGAATAATAAAAAATTATAAATTAAAATGAACAGGTATCTAGGTAGGAAAGATCATTGCTTCTAAACAAAGCATATTATGCCTGTGCTTTTCAGAAGATTGAAATGTCTTCTTACCAACACACATGGCTGGTCTGCCGCTCCAAGATTTGTTGTCCAGGCACACGACTGTGCGTTCTCCTTTCAGCGTGTATCCTGGGGTACAATAGTACTCACATCGGGAGTTAAAGTATGCACCATCTATGCATTTAAATCCCCCATTAGCTGGCATAGAAAGGGTAGGGCATCGCTTCTCTGGAAGAGAAAATCAGATGTGAGCTATCTTTTATTTTCTATCAAGTGATATCTCTTATGCCTAAGAATTCTACCATCATTCAGGTGAGATATTAGAACCTAAGTCCAAATAAAGGGTTAAATAAGCAATGATGATGAAATTTTTCCCCTTGACCTTGAACCTTTTCTAGACAAATATCATGATGTTTCATTATCATGAACCACATTCAAAGGTAGAATGTACCTGTTATATTTATACTCTGGCTTCTCTAGTCAAGGACAGTTTTTGTTTTTTGTTTTTTGTTTTCACTTTTGCAACCCCAAAAGCCCCTGGTTACATGCCAAATACACAGAGGAAGTTGACTGCAAATAGATAAATGAGTTAAGGACAGAAGTCACAATGGACTCAAAAGGGAATAAATGACTCACGTTTACACAGAACCTTGTCAGACCACCTTTTGTTTGGCTGGCAGGTCAGCTGGGAAGAACCATGCAGCTCATAGCCCTTGCGACATCGAACATCACATCTTGTACCCAAGACATTTTTGTAGTATCCTCCATGAGGCGCCCTGCAGTATACATCACCATACTTAACTTTGATGGGAGAGCACCACGGAGTGTCTGGGAATAACAGAAACAAGAAACACATGAAGAGAAGTTTTCTCAAATGTGCTGCTACTTCACAATGACTACTGGCCTCTCCCTCCTCTGGCGTCCGAAGCCTCCACTCATTGGACACTCACTATTTACTGTCTGCTAAACTGTTAGCTCCTTGAAAGTAGGCAGTTATGCAATTTATTTTTTATTGTAGTCCCAGGGCCTGGCACAGTGTCTTACAAATGGTAGGTGATTAATAAATGTATTTTAAAATTAAATTGAAAAGTAAATTATTAACAATATTTGCATGTTTTATTCTCCCCAGTTAGAGTGGAAGCTCCTTGAAGCTTTATATTTATGTTGGTAAACCCAAATATCTTATATGCAAGATTACATAAGTAGAATAGCTAGAATGGTTTAGAATAACTAGACGTTAAAGTCACTTAGTTCAGCCCTTTAGTTTTACATATAAGGAGCTTTCAGAGAGATGAAGTCTCTTTGTCCAAGATCACACAGATAGTGAGTGAGGAAACTGAGTCCTAGTGAGATTAAATGACTTTTTAGCTAGTAGATATCAGAGTCAGGATTTGAACTTAGGTCTTCCTGATTTCGATTCTAACACCCTATCCACTAGGCCATATGAGCTCAAACTCAGGCCTCCTCCCTTTCAATTCTAGCATTCTTCTCACGACCCAGTCACATTTTCGTACATGCTACATAGTTACAAGCACAGTGTCATGGTAAGAGCAGGCATTCAATAAACATTGGTTGACTGAGTGACTTTGGGTTTATTCTCAATATATGCAAACTTCCTTTGAAAAAGACCTTATTGTAAATAGAAGGTTTGGTTTTCAGCTCATGCCATTAATTCATTTGGCCTAACTTCTTTGGAGCATCAGTGCTAGAGGATGGCCGCCATGATTATAAGTTCCCCTTGGGACCTTATACCATGTGAGCCTACATAGAGAGCTGCAGTCAAAGCATGCTCCCCAAACATCAAAGAACCAGGGATTCAGGACTGGAAGGGGCAGCATCTAGCATGTGGAAATCACCTAGTTCAACTCCCCCCTTTTTAAAGAGGAGAAAAGGAAGGCCCAGAGACACAGTGATTTGCCCAATATTACCCTGATATTAAGTCGCAGACTGAGAAGGTCACTGACAAATGAATACCCTGTATTTTTTCTCCTTGGTTGCCCAAAGAGTTCAGCACACCATACAAATCCATGTCTCTGTCCCTGTAAGCTTCCCTCAAATGATAGAGGACAGGGGAAGGGAAGGGAAAAAACAAAACTAACAATCCTAGATGTGAGCTGGAAAATCCCTCATTGAAGAATGCACTGATTCCACATGATTTACCTACCAGGGAAGAGGTCAAACAACTCATATAAACCTGCTAACTTTTGCCTTCACCGCTCCATTTCAGCACTGAGGTCTAGCTCAGCCCTGAGCACCTGAGCTTTCAAAGGTATGGAGTAAGGGTGCCACCATGTGGAAAGTGAGTGTGTGGAGAATTAGTTTTCATTCAGGAATGTCCAGAGGACTGGCTTTAACACCCCTGCTCGGCAAGAGAAACCATTACCTTCCCATCATGTGTAGTATTTCCTTGAGTAGCATGAATACTTTATCATTCCCCTTAGCAAACACAGGCATCCCGTAATATGCAACAAGTATTTAAGCCTGTGTCCCAAAGTCAAAGCCAATGGTGAGTAATTGGATGTCCCAAGTGGGAATGACAATATCAGCACTTCAGCAAGAGCCAAGATTTTGATTAAGCAAGACCACGAGCCTATACACGCAGGGTGGGTCCCCCCTCAGTGTCTACAGCCCCACGCAAGGAGACTTTTGTGCCATAGGAGAAGCAGGTGAAGAAACTAGGGATACTTAGCCTAGACATGAGAACACTTTCAGGGGATGTCAGAGTTTTCTTCCAGTATTTGAAGGGCTGTTACATGTAAGTTATATAATATTAATTCTGTTTAGCCCCAGAAGGCATATCTTGGAGCCATGGTAGAAGCTGTGTGAAGGCAAATTTATGTTTTATCTAAAAGCTTCTAAACAGTTAGAGCTATTCAAAAGTTAAACAGATGGAAGGGAATGTAATTTTTCTTCCTGAAAGACCTGAAGTAAATTCAGGATGACCTCAGGTATGTTGGAAGGGACTTCTTTTTTTCCAGGTATGCACTAGGATTAGCACTAAGTTCATTCCAACTCAAATTCTATGTTTCCAAAGTTTCACTCCTTGTCCCTCTAAAGGTTTAATGTATAATATATATGCACATATATAATATATACAAATGCAAAATACACCAGGTATAGAATTTATAAGAAGCAACATGGCATGGTAGAAAGATGTCAGGCCTTGGTAGTCAGGAAGGCCTCAGTTCAAGTCCTCAGGACTTCTGCCGCATTCTAGATGTATGACCAGGTCTCTTTACCTTTCTGTGCTTCAGAAACTAAGATTATAAATTACAAAAGAGTTGCTGAGTTGCATCAGCAGAGGGTGTTTCCACACTGGGAATCCCCTCCATTGATGAAATCTAGACCCAAGATAAAGTATGGCATAAATGGTCTCTTTCTTTGCTATAAATCTCAGTAGGCAGGAGTCTCATTAGACCAGAGATGCTAAGTGCTCTTTAAAGAGGGCTTGATCAGGTTTAAGTTCACATTCTAGGACCTAGATTAACTCTAATGCAGACTAGAACATGTGCTAAGTGCATTAGTGAAAGGTGCAGACTAAATGTAACAGAATGTCTCAGAAAGGAAAGATCATTTCCAAATCACCAGCTGAGCTGAGAGTGCTAAGCAAAGGCTCAAAATTCCCCTCTGGAGGACCCAGAGAAACACTGAAGAAAAGATCTACCCATCTTCCTTACGCTCCCTTTGCTCATTTCTTCCGTTTAATGACTTCTAATGGATCAAATAAGATAATATTTGTAAAAGCACTGAGCACAGTGCCTGGCATATAGTAGGCTCTATATAAATGCTTATTCCCTTCTCTTTCTCCTGACCCTCTAGACTAAATAAATCAATTTTATATTCTGGCCTCTTCCTTTCTACAAAGAATCTTATAAGTCTTTAAAAGAAAGCTTAAAATATGCTATAAAATGGCCATTGTAGGCAGGATCAACAACAGTTTGCTCCCTATTTTTAATTTATGTTATGTTATACATTTCTATTAAACTACGTATAAAATTTTTTCAGAAGAAAAACATGTATAGTATGGTGTCCTACACTTACCCAGATATACAAACCCAGAGATCGTGGTGCAGTTTGAACTTAGCAGGTGTCATACTTTGGACGTACCTTCAGTCTCTCCTAGCATCGATGGCAGTATAACATCTAAATGCAATGCTGTTTTTTAACATGTGTAAATAAACCTCTGTGTTCTTTTTACTGTTCAAAACGCAGCTAGCATCAGATTGGCTTACTTTTTATAAGGCAGATCTTTGAGGTGATCTTTTTTCAAGTTACCAGCATTACAATGACAGTAATTAATATTGCAGCTGAATGACTTGAATTCAATTTTTCAGACATAAGCATTGGAATAAAGTGAGTTGAGAGTGTATTTTTACACAGAGGTTAGAAGGACTTTCTTTTAAACAGACATATCAATCAGGGATAAAGTTAGAAAAATTTCTAAGGCATCTATGCATTTTTTCTTGGTCTGTTTTTTTATGAGAAATGGGCAAATGAGCAAAATAGAAGCTCATTATTTAAAGAGACAAATACACTATATATTTACATATGTGTGTATGTATATGTATAGGCATGTATATAGATACAAATACATATCTACATGTATGTGTATGCCTATATACATATGTGTGTGCATAAAATATAGGGTGGTTTGGGGGGTTAGTATTCATTTGGATCAGTCTCCTATACTTTCTACATCTCCAGTTCTATATCATGCGATTTAAGGTTCACAATGATACATTAAGACTCTTAATCATGGTGGAAAGATTCAGTTATTTTCACCACATTGTATTTACTAAATACACAAGATATGCACTAATGTATTTTAAGTTTTCAATAACAAGGGTTCCAACAACCACAAAAAAAGTTTTGTTTTTAATGCTAAGTTAATTACCAACAACAAAAGGTTTTGGTTTTTTGACCTCTTAGTTAATTAGGAGATGCAGTTACAACCAGAACAGTCCATCTATCCCCCAGGCTTTCTGGATTCCCAGTGCTTTCCTAGATCTCCCTCATAGCCAAGCCACTACATTAAATCTGTCATAGACAAATGTTTGTGTATATTTAAAAGTCACAACTTTATGAAGAGAATATATAAGGAAGAGTTTTTGTGTTGTTTTGTATCAGATTTTGACTTTATTTGGTTTAAGGAGTTTCCAGTGTGGAAGTTCTCTCTACTAATGAGGATAGGCAAATATTCTCTAACTTTAATTGAGAGTTGCTAGGGGCACTGGCTGGTTAAATGACTTACAGACAGTTGGGACAGAAACAGAATTTGAACCCAGGTTCTTCTGACCCTCCAGCTCTCTACATCCACCATGCCATACTTCCTCCTACAGTTTTGATTTTTTCCCCAATTGCACTTCAATCAATTGGAAAGCTTGTGAAGCTCTGACTTGTGGGATTTTGCTTGTTTCAGAGCTAGCATGTGTTACTCTAATACTCCCAAGATGTCAGATGTAGCAGAACAGTGCAATACACTGTGTTCTTGCCAAAATGTGGACAGGTTCCCTGGGAAAAATGCCATGGTGGAACTTTGCTAACTAATTTTCCTCAAATTATTCCCACAGGAGAGGAGTCAGATTTCAGAATGTAAACACATACATTCTGTCTTTGTCCCAGGTCTCCCTGAAGTTTAAAAAAAAAAAACAATAAGCAATGTCCCTTATCAAGCACACTTACCTGGTCCTGGTGGTAAGAGGAGAAAGATTTAGTTAGTTGGAACTGCCTGAATTGTTTCTCTAACTTGAGGAGAGTGTGGTTATTTACCAGGCTATATTTTCCCTGGGGAGTATACTTTATTCATCATTTCAGGGGTTAAGATGGAACATAAGATCCCTGAGGACAAGAACTGTTTCACTTTAGTCTTTGTAATCCCAAAGCCTAGCACAGTGCCTGGCATACTGCAGATGTATCATAATTGTTTGTTGGTTGATTGACTGATCAATTAATAAACCAGCATTCTCAAGCAGCTTATGAAAATCAAGCTTCCTTATTCCCAGTGCCTTTGCAGGACCATTTCCAGATTCCATTTCCCCTAACTTAGGAATTATTCACCATTCCCAGTGGAACGTAGGAATCGGGGAAAGACCCCTTAGCTTGATTTTCATTTCCATAAGCCATAGAACATCCTGGTAGGAATAAAAGAATATAGAAGAAATTGGCTTAGGAGAATAAAATGACCAGCAGGGAAGAAACGCTTTGATATTCTCCTCTGCTCTCCCTTGTGCATGTATCTCACCAGCACTTAAGCATGCCCTGTGGTCACTTTATTTCAGTCTGCTCAGAAGGGAGGAGAGAGGAAGGTTCCTGGCATCAGCAGAACTCCGTTAGCATACAAGCAAAGCATTCACCTTTCTGTCTAGGGTATGAAAACACATCTTCATCATCTTCTAGTGGTGAGTATCCCGAACCTACAATAAAACAAAGAAGAAGGAGGAAAACTACAGAAGAAAAGCCATATGATATATATTTACATATATACATATATTCCATTTTGAAAGCAATGCTTCGTCATCATTCATGCAGGGAATATTAGAATGCAGAGCCAGGAGCAAAAGCTTCGGTGGCCATTCGTTAAGTCATGGTGGCCACTTAAGAGTGAGCTCTGTCATGCTAGACTTCTGCCACAGCCCATCCCGAATGAGATTCAAATTGTGCTGCACTTCTGGATTCAGTAGGGAAAAAGACAGGGAGAGATGGATCTGCTCGAAGATGATGCCAATGTATACAGTCTACATGCCAATGAAATGCAGTAAAATGCTTTCCAGCCAACCCACTGCTCCTCTAGAATTAAAAGAAGCCTCCAGGAACAGTGGGTGCTTATGTTACCTGAAAATTGGCACATCCCATGAAATGAGTTTGGGTGGAGGAGAGAAAAAAGGAATCAGATTTCTTAGCTCAAATGTCAAAAGGAACTCAAAATAAGCTGCATTGCTGTATGCAGCAATTTAGAAAACCATACTCTTAGGTTTTCTAAATTCTCCAAATTAAATTATCATATATACTACATATATATGTATTTTTCATATATATGGAACTTTATATATATATACACTATATATATAATTATACATATACATATATGTACATAGAACTTTTTTTAAAACTTCTGACAAAGGGAAATTCTCAGTAACAGTGCTTTATGAATTTTGAGAACTCAATACTGTTGGGGGCGGGGACAATGGGGAAAAAGTATTTACCTCTTTTCTTTCTTTTTCTTTTCTTTTCTCTCATTCATGTTTGTTTGTTTTTATAGAACAACTAATTTGGAATGTGGGACTGTATCCTTTGGAAAGCATTTGAAAGTAAGTTCCAGAAAGTGGAGGATTCTTAATCCTCAGAGCTGCTATCGGTCTCTAATTTCACACAGCTTGTCCTCATTACATAGGAGTACGTCCCCCTCTAGTTTTCATACACTGGTCACTAGTGTTTGCCTTGTCCAAGGTCATCACTAGCCACAAGAAATGCCTTCTACTGGAAGTGCCTGAAACTATACCATATAAGACGGATGATTCCTTAACAGTGTGATTATCGAACCCCTTTCTGGGTCTCAGGGATGAGCTTTCTGGTTCATCTTCCCGGTCCACTTCAACTTTAGATGAGAAAGGAAAGGGTTGCCAGAGAGACAGTCATAGAAGATGATGTAGAAATTGTATATTTTCCCTGTAGGGATAGGAAGGGATATAGCAATTCCCAATCCCAACTTGTCTTCCCATGACTCTCATCTTCCCCAACTGACCCAGCCACCTTGCACTAAATATGGTTAGAGATTTCAAAGTGGTCATTACGCCACATGAGAAAATGAACAAGCATCTCACGAAAGTACGGTAGTCATCATCACAGAAAAAATTCTGTGGGAGACCAAAAATAATTCAAAACTTCTTCCTTTTCTGCCTCCTTTTCAATGTACATTATCTTAGGAGCTAAATCTATGCCCCTGACCCCAATGGCGGAAGGACTATAGGATCTTCCAACCCTATGAGGCTAACTTACAAATCCTAAGCCAGAAGCCCATGTGGCAAATGTATTTCCTGTAAGTCCCATAAACACTGCTGTTGTTTAGTCTTTTTCAGTCATGTCCAATTCTACATGACCCTTTTTTGGAGTTTCCTTGGCAAAGATACTGGAGCGGTTTGCCATTTCTCTCCAGCTCATTTCACAGATGAGGAAACTGAGGCAAACAGGGTTAAATGGCATACAGAATCACAAAGCTAGTAAGTGTCTGAGGCCATATTTGAACTCAGTTCTTCCTGACTATAGGTTGTGTATTCTATCCACTATTCCACCTAACTGCTCACCCCATAAACATACAGTCTATAAAAGCAGAGAGAGATATTCTTGATCAATCCCCGGAATTAAATAGAAAGAACATCTCTAACCATTTAGGAGCCAATTTAGAGTGTATAAGTGATTTTAATAACAATAATAATAATAACTACCAAAATGGTTATGTAGCACTTTGAGCTTTTAAAAGGAATATAGATAGACAGAAAGATATAGATGTAGATATAGATAATGCATATATGTATACACACACACACACACACACACATACATATATTAATGATCTCATTTTATCCTCACAACCCTGGGAAATAGGTGCTATCCTCATTTTACAGATGAGGAAAATGAGGCAGGCAGTTTTAAGTGACTTGCCCAGGGTCACACAGATAATAAATCTGAGGCCAGATATGAACTCAGGTCTTCCTGAATCCAACTTCCAACCATGACATCATGACAATATTAACGGTAATTCCAATTCACTTTTCTGACACTGGGACTCTCATTCACTCCTGTTGTTCACTTGCCAAGCCAATAACCACTGGGTACATGGCCTTGCTCTGCTGGATATCTTGTGTTTTTAAAAATCAAATTCAATGAAGGTAAAAAAGACAAAGTGTGTGATTCAAATTTTCATAAAATCTAATTCTCCATTCCCCAGAAAAGACCCATACCCCAGTATGTTTTTCCCTAAGGAATCCTTGCTGATAGTAAGAAGAGAAACTTGTGAGGAAATTTGGCATTTTAAAGTTTCCAGTGTACCTCTGTCCTGTCTACTCCCCAGATGTTCACAAATAGGTCTCCCTGGCTTCCGTGAAAATGAATTTTTCACATAATCATATTCAGACTTCAGTACATTTGCCTCCTAGTAGCATCAAGGGTAAGAGACGTTAGAATGCAAGCTCTGTACAAGTTCCTTTTTAAAACGCCAGAGGTTTGCTCAAAGAAAGAAAAACTGAGGCAGAGTTAGTGAAGTTTAAATAGTCAATGGAGTGCTCACAATGAATTAAAAACCATATGGATCCAACAGATGGTACAAATAGTCAATGTTACTTTGGCACCAAGATTTTTTATTCTACCTGGACAAATGAACAGAGCCTTTCCTTTCCCACAAATGTTCCCTCAGCCATCCCATTAATTTGCTCATTCTTTAAATAGAATTTAGTGAAAAGTTTCAGGATGTCTCAATCTAGAATCCAGGCTACTCTTGGCCCACAGGTACATTTATTAACTAATCCCTTTATGCTATGAAATGTTCATGAGTAAGGCCATTAATCCAAGCTGGAGAACCCTGCCTGTGGAACTCTCTTTCCATGGGTCAACATTTATATTGGTTGATTTTTTTTAAATTATGTATTTATTTAATCTAATTACCCTGAACTACAGTCTCAATGAACTTTGGGAGAAGTATCATATAAAATTAAAGTTGTTTCTAATGCACCGGGTGCCTGACACATAATACACACTTATAAAATGCTTGTTGACTTGATTTGGTGACTTTAGGTATGAAAAATACACCCAGAAGGAAAAATAAAAGTCCTTTCCTTAAAATTTCCCAGAGGTAGAAGTAGGAAACTTCAAAAATCTGGGTTTTGTCCCTCACTTGAATTTCTACATTACTAGTCTGGACTCTTCAATTAAAAACTACCCTAGTATTCTCTTAAATTGACAACTCTCTTTTTAGATGTCTCCCAAACTGGGTTGTAAGCTCCCTGAAGGAAGAGGTTGAACTTATACTCCTCCTAGAAGGCCAGCACCGTAGTCTATCTATAGGAGGCTCTTGCTAATTATTTGTGGATAATGATACTTGCAACATAATAGGAAAAAAAAAGTATCAAACATACACAGTTGGTCAGTATAATACCCAGAACTATAAGTAGCAGTTTTGGGGCATAGCAAGCAGCATGATAGATGCCCTCAAATCAGTTTTGGAATTCATGTGTGAAAGTAGTACAAAAAGGAAATTTGAAAAAGTTCACTTATTGGGAGGGGAGAACTTGGGAAACTCTCTTCACTCTGGTTGAAGGCAACAGAGTCCCAAGGCCACAACCCTTTTTATCAAGAGACCTAAAGGTGCCACAAGACCCTAGATAAGGAGATTACTACCAAACAGGGAACAGGGCAAAACACCCCAGAGAGGAGAGGAAGTACGCTATCTGATAGCCTCCTATTTTAAACTAATTATTCTCGCTAACTAAGGTCTAAGCCCAGTTTCTATACTGCTAAAGTAATGCACAAGTGTCAAAATGTTAACAGAACAAATTTCAGTATTGTGGAATCTTTTAAAATAATTATTTTAGTCTTGTGCCTCTAAATTTCAGTACCATGTGGCAAAACTCTGATTGTCCTGCCTTAGTTATGGCTCTGATGATGCCTTTAACTAAATGGCTGCAAATTCATCACAATAAAAGAAAATCAGTCAAATTGCTTGCAGCTGCATATCAGTGAGAAGCAGAATGACAACTTGGTGAAGACAGAGCAATGGTAGCAGTTATATAACAAGCATGCTTTCTCATCTTTGTGCTTAGTAGTCCTTCACTTTTCAAAGCTTAAAAGCAGGCAAGTTTTCTGAACACCTATGCTAGTCACATATTATTTCTGGTGTTCTCATATTATCTTTGAGATTTACCACAAATAAGATAGGAGACCAAGCATATATATATCAAATATGGGGCTCTGAAGCCATAGATAGGCAAACAAAAACAAAAACAGCCTCTTCACCAGAGCATGATTTAAATAAAATAGAAAACTTTATAATGAAGTGTGTTTGTGTGTGTGTGTGTGTGTGTGTGTGTAATCCTATAGAGAAACGAAAAGAATAAAACCTTGATTAGCTGAAATCCATCTAACTAGAAAGCTCATCAAGTAGAATTTTTTTTTCTCCTCCCAAATTTTAGGAAGAAGGGAAACAAAAATAATTAAATGTTAGATTTTTTAAAAATTTCACAACTTCCAAAGAACATGCTGATAACACTACACATTTAGTCCTAACTTCTACAGTCACAGAATGACAGTAGCTCAAAGTCAGAAAGGACATCAAAGTCCAATCCCTGCCAGAAAAGGATTCCCTTCTATATTATCTCAATAAGCAGTGGTCATCCAGCCATTCACAATGCTGTAGAATAATGAT